TTACTTCATCGATTGAAAATATCAATCTATTCGTGATTTAATGATATGTAATAAAATCCGGGACGAATGTTACAAATAATTGTGAGACATAAATATTTATATATTTAATTAAACATTTATAGACATAAATTTATATAATTGGCAAGCAGACACAAACACTTTAATGTGATCGGCTAGAGCTAAATACAGCTTCATAGATAGGAATTGTATTTTGAGAGAATAAAAACAAAAATGCACAACTTCGTTTAGATTAAATGCATTGAAGTTCTTGCCATTAAAATTGTTGTTTAATAAACTTCTACAAAGTTTTCTATTTATATTATCTGTTCTTACATCCACTATCTCTTCATTTTGATCAATATTTTATTTTAATATGTCCAGGTATCCTTTAATATGTCCAGATTCCTTCAAATATATATATATATATATATATATATTTAATGGTTGATAAAAATTTAATTATTTTTAAGGTTCTCGCTAATGTATAAGAGCTTTTGCTAAATTTCAAGAGTTATCTTTATCTATACGTTTAAGTATTCTTATAATGTAAATATTTTTACATTGAAAAAAAAAATATTAAAAAAAAAACTTTGACCAATATTGTCCATTAAATAAGAAAATGCGCTAATATCCAACCTTCTGGTAATTTAATTTCACACAATAATCAAAGCTGATTTCTTTTTTATTATAATGATAAAATAGTTATATTACTATTGAATATTTAATAGTTGACCGTTGCATTATAAAGGAAGGAGATGGTCCGGGGTGGCCATCATAAATAGGCTGAATAGGTGAACACACCTCCCTAAAGAAGATCTGCAAAGTCGGGTCGAAAAGTTGGCTTTTAATAAAATAGTTTTGCCACTATTCAGCCTATTTATGACCGCCACCCCGGACCATCTCCTTCCTTGATAATATTATTACTATTTTTCTGTATTATTTATTTTTATTTATAGTAAATAGAGTGTGAATGTGATCTCTTAACACATAAATGCCCTTTATTGTGAAGGATTGTTATATTTCTCAATAAATAATTTTTTTTTTTTTTAAGTTATAATATAGTATGGGTTCTGAAAAATTATTATTCACATTTTATATTTCGGTTTGATTAAAAATGTTGTGACTTTCTCCATCCTATTTCACATAACATTAAAACACAAATCTGTAAATCATACACGTGTGGCCTGTATACATTTATAAATGATATTAAAAAAAAAATCCTGTAAATATCTGGATAATAATAAAGGAGATGAAGATGGTAATTGGTTGGTTTGTGAGAGAAGCAAATATAACTGAAACTGGTTAACATAGTGCTATTGGGCAGGCCATCTTGAAGCCCAATATTGCATAAGATTAGCAACCGCCTTCCGCAGTTTGAATATTTTTGTATAAATTTCGACCCCTCCTCTCTCCCTCACGCTCTGTTGTTCCTGGTGTGGGGGGAGGGGTAAATCCCGCAGAGGCTGACACAGGTTTTTAATATCAAATGCTAATGGACAGCGAAGGGAATAATGAAGCTTAATGAGCTACGGTTTAGGGACGAAGGGCTTTGAGTTATAGGGCCGCGGGGTGGTGTTTAGGCTCCCTTTATAGTTAGCAATAAACAACAACAACAGTCTTCCCAAAAGCCTCCGTGCTGTTGTTTAAGTAAGTGTTCCCCGACACGGCAGTTAGCCTTGTCTTTGAGCAAGTCTAACTCTGTGCAAATTGAGAGAAATCAGGATCAATCTTGAAAAATAAAATATGTACATAATTATATATTTATATTAGAATTGTTTTAATATATTTACTCCAAGGAATAGAAATTTAGTAGCTCTGTAGAAATCATTGATGGTCAGCCATAAGAACCTCTTAACATAAATTTTAATGACCCGAACCACTGCTTCCCGGCTTGAGAGGTCAGAGAATATCTGAGGATCGAACCTTATAAATATATATATATATATATATATATATATATATATATATATATATATATATATATACATATATATATAAATTTGGTTTATGTGTATCAGTTTACGAAATAATAAATAAAAGAAGTAAAACAATTAATTTTCCGTCACCTGCTGGACATTCTGTGCTGCTGACACTGATTTAATAATTAATAAATCCAGTAAAAATGTATATAATTAAAACAAAAATTATTTTCTCTAACCATCTATCATGTATTGGTCAAAATAGTAGAGTCCGTGGTACAGTCCCCTCCTCATAAAATTATTAACATCCGCTTGAAACTTCATAAATAGCTTCATCTCATCGTAACCTACAACTATTTTATTTACGAAAATTCTCGGAATTGTGGTGTTTTAAATCTGGAGATCTTCAAACTTTGTCTATTTATTTAGGTACTAAAAACTCGTAAATACCCATTTTCTTACCACTTGAACCGGAGATAATTTGATCACAAATTGAAGAAAAAATGTGGCCTTCAACACTATTGAGCCGTTTGACATGGCCTACATCCCGAAATATCAAAATAAAGAGGTTGTTTTGGCTAAACGGCTCAATAATTATTTAAACCACCATTTTAATTTTAAATTTTGCGATCAAACTACCTTAAGAACCAAGTGGGAAAGCAAGTGGGCATATATGAGTTTTAGCTCCTGATTAAACAAAGTTGGCCGACTCTCAGATTGAAAACGTCCCAATTCCAAGAGTTTTCGTAAATGAAATAGTTGTATGTTATGATGAGAGGAAGCTATTCACGAAGTTTCAGGCGGATGTTAATAATTTAATAAAAAGGGGTATGTACCACGGAATAGTGTATTAATAATATAATATTATAATAGAAAAACTTTCCACAGATGTATACTGAAATGAATTAAACAAGTTTCATAAAAAACCTGACCATTTCATATCAGCTAACACCGTTAGTTGACCTCTCTTATATTGATGGAATAATAACCATTCAATTTTAAATAACATGAAAGCTGTCTTCTTATTTAATAAAGATCTACAAATAAGGATTTGGAATCAACAAAATGGCCTGTTATAATAGCATTAAATTAATTCACCACTTCTGAGTAAATGGGAAAAAACAACTATCTTTTAATAACTTATTCATTTCTTGGCATTAGTAATTATACTTAGGGAAAAATGAAAAAAAAATATTGATTTGCACAGCCTCTATTATCAATGGAAAGGGATAAGAATTACTAATACTTCAAAGAATTTGTGGAATACGAGGATGCCAATCTTTTCAAGATCGTTACTAGTATAAGGTAGTTGGTAGATGGAAAAAAGATTCTTGTGGTGGAGAAAAAAGAAATGAAGGAAGGAGGTAAAGGGACAAGCAAAGAAAGAAAGAAAAGTAACTTTTATTTTGCGACATTTTGTCCTCTAAGAATAATTATAAGTAGATCAAGAAATTAAGTAAGAAAATAATCTAACCTTAAATTAAAATTAACAAAGCATAACTAAACATATTAAAATAGACATAAATATATATGTGTGTGTTCAAATATTTTTACTGATAAGCAATACTGATAATATATAAGTATCTTTAAGATAACTGTCAAATGAAGATGACAGCACTTAAATACAAAAATTTTATTCTTACATATATTTGGAATATTGAATGCTGAGTAGGTGGAAGAATAAATTTTGTTTAAATAGGGTTACGGTAGAGGATTTGCGTACGGAGGTGGGTTAGAAATCCAAAAAAAGGCATAACGCATAGGCAAAGGTATAACGCATGACAAAGGATATTTTAAACAGTTCCATGAAAGAGAATATACAGGTTTATGGGATGGGATCTTGTGTTAAACGAATGGACAGAGGAACAAGGAATAAATAAATCAAGAAGGTGAGACTGATTTTTGGTTGTAAAGGTTGGCAAAAGGAATGCACCTGGAAATATTGCCGCCGATAGTGAGAAGAAGATGAGGAAGGTGTGAGAAAAAAGAAAATTCAAGAAACGACTTACGCTTGGTCCATAGCTGGCCAATATCGCGATAAATAAATATATATATATTTTTTCAATCTCGTGGCTATTAGGTTACAAAAAATAAAACGAAATTACAATTTTGTTATTTTGTAATTGATAGCACTACCGATTATAAATATCCGGTTTTATAGATACATTTACGTAATGATGTACTGTTCTTGAAGAAATAATCCAGGTATGGAGAAATACCTCTACTATTAATTATATTTGTAGAAAATATTTTCTTGACGGATTGATCCGGGTTTAATCCCATGAAGATTTTTCAAACAATAAATCACTTTTAAGATTAGGGAACGCGACTGAACCTTATCAGAAAGAAATTTTAACAAGGATTTAACAGACAACAGTAAGGCGCTTGGTGATACCAATGCAACGCTTCGCTGCTCTGCGTGTCAGTTTCCGTATACCTCAAGTTAGCTAGCTTAGTTTTTTAATCCGTTCTTGATTAACACTTGTCAATAAATGGTATGCGATGAATTGGATGAATTTACCTTCTCAAGGTACTGGCAGGGATGTGAGGGCATAATAGTACCATTAATTCTTAGTGGAGGAGGTCCTACATCCAACTCCTCTTCAGCCTTTAGATGTTATCTGGTATGAATGATCTAGCCCAAAATACTTTTACTAGAATGATTAAGTCCGTGTATGTTTTTTAAATTTAAAGAGTTACTTAAATTTAGAATGAAAAAAATATATTGTTAACTATTAAAACTACTAAATTTATGCTAAATATCTTTACGTTTTTATCCATTGCTTTAGTTTAACAGAATTAACATCAACAAATTTTATTAGTTAATGTTTATGTTTTGAAATAATTTTTAAAAAAAGAAGTGCTTTACGTTACAAATGTTTAACTCTTAATGGAACGTTAATGAAACTAATCATAATCACTAGTTTACCGTAGTCGATTTTTTGGTTAATTATGGCGATTTAAATATCGTAAAAAAATTCAAAACTGAATTATTGTCTAATCCGATAATCTTAATTCTCGAGAGAAATTGAAAATACTTATTCTTTAACCACTTTACCAATTGACAAAAACTAGTTCAAATTACTCATGATTAGGTCTACGAATGAGTCTGTCTCCACGCATACTCGAAACCATCCTGGATCGGATTTCGAAAGATACTTGCCTAGTTTGGTCATCTGGGACTCGTTGAAAAGGCGGCAACGACTAAGCAAGTTTAAAGCAAAAAGCGATCGCAATGATAAAGGATGAGAATTGCTAGATGGGTAGCGGGAGAGAGAGAGAGGGCTCAGTAGAAACTTAGTCACTATATATACATGAACACGGAGCTGTAATCTTATTAAATTTACATATTAATCAACGGATTTTAATTATATCCCCTCCCGTCCCTCCCTATTCCCCCACTCCTTCGCCCCCTCCTAGCCCTCCGTTTCATTTCGCCTTGCTGAGCTGGCGTCATTTACATTAATCCAATAATTGCATGGAGGTTTTCGTCGTAATTAGCAATTCAAATGAGGTTCTGGGAAGGGAGGTTCTCTCACTTCTGCTAACCCCCTCCTCCTCCCTCCCTCCTCCCCTGCAAGGCACGAGGAGGACTTGCAATGAGAGAAACACACTTGCCCTCCCGGTATCGATGTGGCCATCTCTTCTACCCCTAGCAGAGATTGCATAATGCCCATAATGGGAGCATCCACTGACTTTCCCAACCCGACTCTATGCCCGATTACTCTAGAAAATTGGAGGGTGTGTACTGCCCCTGTTGAAACGACCTATTGAGAAAAAAGCAGAAAAGCAATCCTAATTCGTCCATAATAGCCCCCAAATAGGAAATATCGAACTGTCGGTACATTTTAAACGAATCCCTCTCCTTGCGTTTCTCCCAGCCATTGCTCATTCCGGGTAATTATTGCAAATTCATGCCAGTGAAGCTGTCGTCACCTTTCTCAACAAATCACACAACTATTGTCGATTCCGTGAGTAAAGTTTATTATGTTCACCAATCCATTAATCACGGTAACAAAGCAATCTGTTAATCTAAAAAAAAAAACTTAATTTAAATTTACAATTAATTTTTTTTTTAACAACTTAATATTCATTTCATAAGAATAAACTTATTAAATCAAAACATTTTATACTATCCTAGTATATAGACCTACTAGTTCCAACATCGAAATTTATCTGAAATTGTACTAATAATCTTAACAAAAAAATAAATAATAATGAAATTCATTATGACAATACAATAAAAAATATATATACAATATTTAATTTAATTATAGAACTGATATTACGAACTGTAAGCAAGTAGAGTCTTTAGGTTTTAGGTTCTGCAAAAATGTGAATAAGTCAGGTTTTTATTAGTATAACATAAATCATTGGAATTTTGACGCATTTGTAAATCATATCAAATATAAACGATTACTCAAAAAATCTTCTTAGACCATGAAGCTACTCAGAAGCTCTTCCGATTTTACAATCGAAAAATTAAATTATTTTTCCATAGGCAACTAATACTATAGACAGAATGGAAATATAATTTCTTATACTAAAATAGGAGACTATCATAAAAATATCTAGTGTAGAAATAAGTTTAGATTGGTTGGGAAGTTATACAATCCATCTTGAGCAGGAATCGATGGAAGCGTACGCAGGCCATCAGTAATCCCACGGTTTAATTAATCCAACTGATTAACCTAAAAGTTTTTTCTGACCCCTCTCTCACCCCCCCCTTCTCTCCCCCCACCGAGGTCCCTAGGGCGACGGCAAAAGGGGATTCGCTCCAACCCTCTCGCAAATTTTCTTTTTTTATCAGAAGTTAGACAACTTTTATTATCAGGTATTCTGCCGGGCGGAAGAATAAATCTGTCATATAATCATAGTTCAATCACCTCAATTCCACAACTACCGAGCTATACAAATTTCTTTTACTGTAATCGCTCTAAAATGTATTATTTATAAAGTAAATAAACCAAACATACTAAATAAAAAAATTGTATTATCTTTTAATATGGCAAATCGTCTATTTTAATTTAATTTATTTTAAATTTTCGACTTAAAGAAATATTAATTTATTTTGTAAGTATAGAAATTGAGAATTTCTTTAGGCGCACTTTTTGTGGAGAGTGGGTTAGATTGAACCGTCAGATTTCCGCTCGAAGTTTCAACGCTCGGGTAAAGCGAGCTAGAGTCGACTAATCAAAATGTTTATACATATGGATTAAAATATCTCAAAAACTAAAAATCGGTCCTGCATATTGTAAACGAGGAAATTGTTCAGCATTTCATCCTCTCTATAATAGGCTATAATTCAAAATTACATCTTAACGCGAAGCTGTGTTAAGGAGGAGAAAAGAAAAATATAATGTCGAAAACGAAATAATAACGAGATTTAACATATGGATTAAAATATTTCAAATACTAAAAATCGGACCTGTATCTTGTAAGCAAGGAAAATATTCAACATTCCATCTTCTTTGTAATGAGCTATTATTTGTAATTTATATTTCATATTATTAATCCCGCTTTGTTGATATTTTCACTTATGTGGTGTGGTCTAAAGCACGCACTATTATCATCAATAAAAATTATTATCAAATTTATTTTTATTTTTTATAAACATATATGTAAAAGATCTTTTTGCAAACTTTCGAATATAAATTTATCTCTCTAAAATATTACATTAAAAATAAAACAACAGTATTTTCGGAGGAAAAAAAATAAAGCATGAATAAAAAATGAGAACATTTTAAATAAAATGTGTCTACATTAATTGTTTTCAAAATCTCACATAAATGAATAAAATTTAATAAAGATTTAGAGTTTTTCTAACATTTAATTCAACCCCGATTTGAAAATGAGAGGAAAAAAAAATATGACACTCTTCCAGAAAATGAAACAGATCTGTAATGTTTGAATGACCAATATTATTTTGAAAAAAAAAAAAAATTACAGCTCATCTTACGTAAAGGTTTATATAATCCCTTTTAACATATAAATAGACCCTTTTAATAGACCCACAAAGTAACAATAACATATATACAAAAAAACAAGACTATACATAGTTATCAAAACCAGTTTTAAAAAAAATGTTAGCTGGATCTCAACATGATGTACTGTTTACATCATATTTACAAATCAACATTTACTGTTTACGAATTCTAATTAATGTGTTGGGCTTTATTTTACTGCAATTAACAACTATAAACGATTTTTTTCTTTATCGAAATTCTTGAGACCCTCATACTTACTCCTACCTACGTATTTCTGAAGAAATATTTATAATTACGGAATAGGACAACAAGATTATCAATTAAATACGAAATAGCTTTGTTGACGGACTACTATTCTCCTTACCTTTACTTGGGTGTTTGAGGAAGGATCCCATATGTCATCCGATTTTATTTTGAAATCATTGGTCACACTCATCATTACATCGGTAGAAAATAAATTAACAGGGTTAAATGAGCTCTATCTGGGGGAAATGAGAGGAAGGTTATTAATGTATGCTCTGCCGATCAATCATCAGCAAATATTAGCAATGGAGATAATGATGCCAAATTAAATTTTACACCAGCTGCGAAACCGCGGATACAATTATGCTAAACGGTTTCCACATACACACATACACAGAGAACAGCTGAAATCATTTTGTTTCAAAACCTCATTTCCATAAAGTGAGGCCGATATGAAGGGAAATCAGGGCTGGCAACAGGTGATTTACCCTAATCAGGATTTCCATCCCATTATCTGCGAATAAAGGCAACCGTTTTATAACACTCGTCAGTTCAACACGTCCGGATCGAGTTAAACGGTCGGAAGCTAAGAGGAAAACCGCCATTTTACCTAATAATGTAATAGGCCTTTTTACTCAACTAGTTATCCAATCAGTAATTATAAATATATATATACATAAAAGAATTAATGCATAAAAAATAAAATATATATATATGTATATTTATATATATTGAAATTTGATCACTGTAAACATGATATATTAATAAATAAAATATTACAGATGAATCTCATATTTTTTACTAGTGGATAAGCCTTTTTAACATTCCATTGAATTAAATAAATGTACCAAAAATATATCAAATTAAGGAATAACGTTTCAAATAATGGACTTCTGTAAATTGGGTGAATTAAAAAAATAGAGTATTTTAGGGTTTTCACTTTTTAGTTTTATTACCTCAGTAGTTAACAATGTGTTAAAACCGATAATTCATAAGTCAGAAGAATCTTAATGGGATCGAATTATTCCAGCCAACCACTATAGAAGATATTTTTTCATCTCTAATATATCTAATTATAGGGAATTAGTGTGTAATCTAAAATATTGTCTCCTGAGTATTGTAATAAAAATGTAGATTGGATGTCGGATTGCGATAAATGTTGAACGGTTTGTTTGAATCTTGTTCTCTTGTTTGTTTCTTTATTTATATAAATAATCTGGTAATTTAATTTTAGTACTTGGTTTTATATTAAAATTTTAAAAATATAATTTATTTATAGGTCTCATGTGTTCTATTGATAATTTTACATTTTATAATGATGTTGATAATTGGCGTTGTTTTAACTATCTGGCTTTTTGCCTGTAACTTCTTAACTTAAACATAAGCGCGTGCTTGTCATCTATCCCGAAGGCGTCTTCTTTTAGATATATCTGTAATCGTATGTAAGCTTTATTAATTTATTTATTGTATTTTGTATCGCTAATTTCGTTTACAAAATCAATGAAAATAAATGTTATTTGGGTTATGAAAAGAAAAAAAATGTTTTTCTAAGAAACTGTTTGAAACTCAATAGCTGTGCATTGCTCATGTTTTGTTTTTTTTTCATTTAATATTTACTCTATTAATTAGCAGTACAATAATAAAAAAGAAAGAGAAAAGCCGTTCGGATTAATGCGTTCATTCCAAAACTGTTCATAGAATAGCCAACAATCGATCATGAGTTAATTTATCGATATAATAATCCTATTCCGATATGATGAATCGGTCTTATCTCCCACCCCCCTTACCTGGTTCTAATTCCTAAGGACTTGCATCACCGGCAGAAATCGGCTCTGCGTAATTATACATTACAAACAGCTATAATTAATGAGTTGGTAATTTTACTATCCTAGCCATGTTCATAAATAAGATGAAAGCTGGGATTGAATTCATGTTTCAGGAATACTCGGGCATAAATAAATAACTTATTATAATTTCTTGTTTATAAAACACTGTAATTTACATGAATCTGCATTCCGATTACCGCTTCCAAATTCAATGAACTTCTGAAAATTTATTCTCCTCCCCGCTACTTGAGAAAGTTATAGATCATTTCTGGACAATGCTATTACATGTTATCTGTTTCATTTATTTTTCGCTTATCGCAAAAATGTCTTTCGATTATCGAGATATATATATATATATATATATATATATATATATATATATATATATATATATATATATATATATATACATATACATATATTTAAATTCTTTTCATGAATTATGTCTCTTCTATAAAATTACGTAATTCAATCGGTATCATTTATTCAATAACAAATTTCTTAAAACAGAGTTTTGAAAGATCAAACTTGGATTCCTTTATTTTATCATTAGTCATACTCAATTTTAAAAATCAAAAAACATTGTAAATTTGGCTTTAATTTTCTTAATGG